AATGTTTGCACCAAATGGAAGAAAATATTACTCCCCAGTACTACTATAACCCTCCATCGCATCTAGCTCCTATTAAAATGTCGTCCAGCCCAGTCAATATAGCTCAGTGATTGAGCATCGAGAAATTCACCGAGAGGTAGCTGGTTTGATTCCTGGTCAGGGCACATGCCAAGAGGGGGACAGCCAATTGACTATTGTCTTTCATCATTGTTGTTTCTATCTCTCTCTCCCTCTCCCTTCCTCTCTCTAAAATCAATAAAAACATATATATTTTTAAAAATGTGTTCCAATTCACTTGTTCTTATATGTTACTGGAGGCCCGGTGCACAAAATTTGTGCACTGGGGGCGGGGGGTGGGGGTCCCCCTCAGCCCGGCCTTTGCCCTCTTGCAGTCCAGGAGCCCTCGGGGGATGTCCAACTGATGGCTTAACACGTTAAACGCCAAGCCTGTTTTGTCTTCCTTTCCATTTAGCCCATGGTATCCAATCTCACCGATATGCTGGTGGCTGGAGATCTATGTAAGGTTGTGGAAAGACTGCATGTATATCTTCAGATATATTTCTTGTATGTATTTATTGTAATCTGTACTCTGTTTTCTTTTAGAAATGCTTTCTCTTCAGTCAGTTGTCTGTGGTTCGTGTTCCAGTGCAGTTTAAAATTTTTTTCTTTACCCATAACAGTGACAATATCAGTAGAAGAAGCATGTGAAAGTGATTCAAGTGAAATTAGTTTCCCTAAAAAATGTCGTAGAGTCGTTCTTTTTTCATCATCAGAGGATGAGGATGAGGATTTTGAAGAATGGCGTGATCCAAGAGGTAATCAACCAAGGATTATGCCTTTCACCTATCTGTCTGGCTTTAGGATTGAAGACTTGAATGTAAAGTCATGGGCAACAGTAGAGAATTCTTATGAACTGTTTGTGCCTAATGAATTGTTTGAGGATATAGCCAAACAAACAAAGTTATATGCGTCGCAAAAACTAGGGGTTGAAAACTCGTAGCGTTTGTGTAAGTGGACTGTGACGAACAAAAATGAAATGAAAAGATTTTTTGGGTTGATTCTATGGATGGGACTAGTTAGACTACCATCTTTATGTTTATACTGGTCCCATGATCCTGCATCTATGCAAACTTTCCCCCAAAAATAATGGCAAGAAATAGATTTGAAATATTATTATGAATTCTGCATTTTTCAGACATAGGGAGACAGATGTTTCCAATCATTTATGCAAAATACAACAACTAATAGATAACATGGAAATAAATTTCAAAAAATATCTGAAGCTATATGTATTGATGAATCTTTGATACCATGTGGTGGCTGCATAATAGGCAATATATAAAACAAAAATGCCACAAATATGGTATTACATTATTTAAGTTGTGCTGTGGATCTGGGTACACGTATGCTTTTCGTGTATATGCAGGGAAAAGTTTAGAAAAAGAAAATACAACACCAACTAATGTTGTAATGTCTCTTTGTAGAGATGTATTCAGTAAGGAACACACTATAATGCAGGAAAAGTAGCAGTTGATATATTTGATCAAATGAGTGCCTATAATAATCCCTTTCAAAATGGTTCAAAAAGCTAGCCTTTGAGCTCCTACTAAATACTGCTGTTCTCAATGCTCGTGTTTTGCTTAAAAATATTAGCAAGAAGAATATGAGTATCACAGAATTTCGGGAGAAATTAGCTGTCCATCTAACGAATTGTCGGGATGAAGAAATTCCAAGTAGCAGTACTGTAAATATACCTCAAATATCTTGTCACAAACTGTAACAAAAAACTGGAAGAGTGTCTAAAGTTCAAAGATATTGTGAAAAATTCTACAAAGACAATGCAGCACGATTTGAATGAGATATTGCCAGAAAGTTGACAAAACAAGTTATAACATTCTGTGAAACCTGCACAGGACAACAATTTTTGTGTATACTGTGTTTTAATAATATTCATTTAAAAATTTTTTTTTGGTAACAAGTAATATTTAGGTACATTCTTTTATGATCTCCAAATTATTTAAAATTTATTAATAGAAGAATATAATTTTTTAAATTGTATATCGTCAGTCAACATTGACTGACGTGGCCTGAATGAAAAGTATACTGTCAGTCATTAGTGACTGACGAGGTCTGGACAGAAAGTACAGTGAGTGACATGGTGCTTAATGTGTTAAGCAGGCAGTCGGACATCCTTAGTGCTGCTGCAGAGGCAGCAGAGGCTCCCGCCACTGCCACTGCACTCGCCAGCCATGAGCCCAGCTTCTGGCTGAGCAGCACTCACCCTGTGGGAGCACATTGACCAACAGGGGGCAGCTCCTGCGTTCAGCGTCTGCCCCCTGGTGGTCAGTGTGCATCATAGTGACCGGTCATTCCATAGTTTGGTCGATTTCCATATTCGCCTTTTATTATATAGGAGGATATTAGGAGATTTTAAAAAGAATGAGTTTTGTTATCTTGTCCTTTTTGCAACATCATCAAACACTGACCTTTTGCATATATGATAGCAAATTAAATCCTAGGAATGACTTTTTCTGCCTAGAGCAGGTGAGGCAAAGCGACTGAAGTTTGCATAGAGAGAACCAACACTGGGCCAGGTCTAACAGGGATCTCTGTGAAGGGTAACCAGAAGAGCCAAGACAATAATGTTATGAATAGATTTGCTCATTTTCATCAACAAGAGATGACAAAGGTAAAGATCTACCCAGGCTCAGCACAGTACATGGGACATTGTTAATTCACACCAGCACAGCTTACCTTTCATTAGTTTCTATATCAAAACAGAACCTCTTGTCAATAGACTCTGTCTTCCTTCTCACGCAGTACTTCAGGGTTAAGTCCAAGGGCCCCTGATAGAAGAGAAGAATTAATAGTCAATTTTGGGGAAAAATGTGCAAAAGCTTCTGAACCCTGTAGTGTCCTTTGTGTCACTTGGAAAGCATCTGTCAGGGCAGCAGGAGCAATATATAGCCTCACTGAGAGCCTTTGTCCCTTCAGACAGTAGTTGCAGCAAGATGGCAGATGGTTTCTCCCTGCTGCAAAAATCAATAAATGGCTGAGATGAAAAGAAAATTATATTCAGAGTGGGCGATCACTCTTTTCCAAGTGCACTAGATTAAATAGGAAGCTCATTTCACATCATGTAAGGGGAGTGAAAGAGAAATAGGCTGCCCAAAATCACATTAAGTGTCCAAAATAAACTTTTCATTAGATGTCTAGGTAGGGAGATTGCTATGATTAAGTGGTTCTCTGCAACCCTCCTTCCATTAAAGCAGCTGATGGAGGAGGGGGGAGACAAACATTTCTCTTCCTCACTTCTAGACTCTTGAGGATGACAGGGCTTCCAAAAGCAATGACTCCAAAGATAGGGTAGGAGTAAGGAAAATAATTCAATGTGTGTATTAGTTAAGGTAGCATTTGGTATTTCATACGTGCAGAATGGTTTGGCCCACCTTAGTCTTGTAGGCACTTAACAAGGCCAATGAAATCCACCTTCTCCACAGATTAAATTTCCCCAGTCCCACACTATTAAGTTTTCCTCTATTATTTCAACAGATACAATGTGGTATAGTAAAGAGAAGTAACAATTATTAATCCCCTACTAGGTGCCACATATTACACTAGGTATTCATAAACCAACTTTCTTCATAATCCTTGGAGGAAGCTCAGAGAAGTAAAATGGCTTACCCAAAGTCACCCATGTTGGTAAAGTGAAAATGGCAATAAACTAAGAAGCTTAAAACCTGGGATCTTGTCTCAATTAAGCCATTTACTAGCTACTGGTATATGACCCAGGGCAAATAATTTTCAATCTCTGAATCTTAACTCCACAGTCTACAAGTATTAAATGAGATTAATACTACCCACCTTACTGTCTCAAATTCAGAACACTTTCCAAATGCCAGGTCTATACCTAAGCACTGTACCTCTCTCATTGACACACTCAACCACCAAAAGCCTATTCTTCTGCTGCTCCTGCACTATGCAAACTCAACTCTAAATTCATCATTCAATCTGCCTTCCCTGCCCCAGCACTTAGAATATCAAGCATTGTTAGTTGCTCAAGATGAGAGTGATTAACAACTGCATTATGTATGCACCCTCCCACTTTAAATTCTGAATTCCCTCACATTCAGTGGCATCACAGCTCAGGGGCCTACGTCTTGCCCTCCACTCCAGGTTCCCCTGCAACCACCCCCATCAATGTAAAACTACTCTTATTTCATACATGAGTCATGCTTTTTCGTGACTCCATAACTTTGCATATACTGTTTCCTCCATCTAAAATGATTATGCATATTATTTGCCTAGCTAAACTCTTACTGGTTCTACAACATGTAATGTAGTTTCATTTCCTCCCCAAATCACATACATTGCCATTATATGCTTTCAACATTATATTAAAGCTTTATGGTTTCGTGAATGATTTCCCTACTTGACTGAGAAATCCTCAAGAATTTGGGCAATGTTTTATTTATCTTTATATCTCTAGTACATAATAAACAGCACTCAATAAATGTTTACTACATTATCATCCTTGCTATTTTTCTAAGAAGAAAAATGATACCAAGCAAAAAGTAATTTATTCAAGATCAAAAAGTTTCTATGCTACCCTGGCCAGCATGGCTCAGTTAGTTGTAGCATCGTCTCATGCACCAAAAGGTGGCAGGTTCAATTCCGGGTCAGGGCACATATCCATGTTGTGGGTTCAATACCTATCAGGATCCAACGTAGGAGTTGCCGAGCTATGGTGACTTGGCAGCCGTGGTTCTCAGGTGATGCACCCTAGAACCAGAGAGGAGGGAACCCAATTACTCGCAGGGCCACGCGATTCCACCTTCGGCTGTGGGTTATGTTGTTGATATTAAAATATTTCTTCTAATTAATTTCCTTTCAATGTGCACAAATCCATGCCCTGGGTCACTAGTCTATACTAATAATAGAGGAATATGCAAATTGTCCAGGATGCTGCAACGTCATGACTGCTCAGCAGGGGCATGCACAGCAAATGTGGGTAAGTGGGACCTTGTAGCACCGCGGACAGGGGCGTAGCCATGACAGGGGTTAGGCAGGCACCTGCAGATGAAGGCCTCTGCAGCAGGCCTGGCCTGGGGGCAGGACAGTGGCAGAGGCCTTTTTCTTCGCACGCCTGTGCTGGGGGTTGGGCAGGCATGCACAGAGGGAGGCCTCTACTGTGGGCCTGCCCCCAGGGGTCTGCAGGCCTCCCCCATGACCTGCCCCCGGGGGTCCACAGGCATCCGCCAGCTTCGGCCTACCTCTTTGGGGAAATCCATCAAGGAGCCACGGGTGGATGGGCGGCGCCTACCTCTTTGGGGTGATGGATCCTGGTGCTCCCGCACTGTGACAGGGCACAGGCAAGGCTGGGGGATCCCCCTGCCTGAGTGCACGAATTTCGTGGACCAGGCCACTAGTACTAAGTAAAAAACTATGGTACTAGGCCAGCTAGGATTTAAAACCAGTTTTTGAGACTCAAAAGGTAGCACTGTTTCTTCTTACACAACTATCTGACAGGGAAAGGATGAATATCTTATAAAACAGTGTTTGGGAAAGTGATCTGTAAAGTGAGCAGCACAACACAAATGGAAGTTGATAGGCTGAAATAATAGGGAACAGTGGTGAGTACTATAGTCAGAAAGAGGGCTAATTCCTCCATCTTCATATTCAGCTAACCATACCTCAGTGTTACTGGGAGAGTAAATGAGGCACATGATGGAAAGTATTCAGCACCTGGCACACAGCAGACATTCAATACACAGTGGTTTTTTACGATATTATCATTGTTTCATTTGTTTATATTATTTGCCTTTCTGGAGTACAAGTTAATGAATGGAACTAAGTCAGAGAACTGACAAGAAGAAGTCATTTCCAACTATAATTGAGGGAAATTCAAGTAATTACTTCCACCTCCCCTCCCTTCATAATGGAAAACCATGTTCCTCTTTCCATTCCATAAGGAATACCACAGTAAAACTACTAAGGCTGTGACAGGATTGTGGTTTTGCAAGCAGCCACTCAAGGAAAAGGGAATAGGGGAAGATAAACTAAAAGGAGGGCTTGCTCTTATATGCTAAGAGGAAATGAAAGAGGCATCCACTTCCTCTGTCTTGAGTTTTGCATTAGGTGCTTCTGAGCAGGAGAGAAAGGGCCTAAATGAGCTTACTGTCTAAGAAAGGAACTTTCAAGTCCAGGATTTGGAAAGTAATCTATCTATATAAAATCCTAAGCAGCCATCACAAATGAAACAACCAAACGGATGACTGAACAGGCTGTGTGGGGCAACCAGGCTCGCAGGGGAGTTAGTGAGGGGCGACCAAACAACAGAGCAACAGGCTGTGTGGGGTGATGAGGCCAGCAGGAGGAGCAGTGAGGGGCAACTAAATGACCGAACAGCAGGCTGCGTGGGGCAACCAGCCTGGCAGGTGGGTTAGTGAGGGACGACCAAAAGACTGAACACAGCAGGATGTGTGGGGAGACCAGGCCAGCAGAGGGGGCAGTGAGGGGTGGCCAAATGACTGAACAACAGGCTGTGTGGGGCAATCAGGCCAGCAGGAGGCTTAGTGAGGGACAATCAAACAACAGAACAGCAGGCTGCATGGGGAGACCAGGCTGGCAGAGGGGGACAGTGAGGGGTGACCCAGCTGGCATGGGG